CGGGGCTAATTGCTCCAACAAGTTGCACAAGGACTCCCCGGTGAGCGATAAAACGACACCCCACAGCCCCGCAGTCTGCCTATTGCATTAAGCTAGTCTGTGACCTCGCGAGTTCACGGCTAATTGCTTGCCGAACGGGTTTTTCGCATCTCGACGGAGGCTGTTGTGTCGTTCGCTGCGGGTTTTGCCTACAGCCGACAAATTTCTTTGCTACGTTTGAGTTGAAGATCAGGGTTTTGACTTAATTGTTCCGACCTTGCGAAATGTTCTTACACCCCAGGAATTTGACTTCCACCAGTTGAAAACAATCACCATGCAACATCGTTTCTGCCGTTCGAACACAATAAGTTCCACTATGGTAGAAATATTTACACCACTTTAAAGTTGCAAGGGCGAATTTCTAACTAAAAAAAGAAACGAGAAACGAGTTGGGCCTCATAACTTATAAGACCTAATGCGTTTGTCCCTCTTTTTTTCCACCTTTAATTAATTTCTTTCACAATTTTATCACTTGGTTTACTGAAGGTGATTTACCTTTCGTAACACGATCAAACCGCAACAACCAGTTATATACAGTCCCTGAACATTTCCCGGGCCGTGACGTCATCATGCGGTGCCGCATCGGCGGTAACTGAATCATAATTTTTGACGTAATTGTTGTGGGTATGAAGAAACGACTGCCAGGATGACGGCAGGATGTTATCTTACACAAAAGGAAATATTTAAGTCGCATTCCACACCTGGACCTTTATTTGTCGAAGAGAGGCACCGTCATGCACAGCGATTAGGTGGGGCAAAATTTCTTTCAGGAGACATTTTTCCACACAGGTTTGCTGGCAGGTTCAAGCTTCGAATTAGTAGCCTACACAACATGTAATAAGGTTACGGAAATCTTTTTGCTGAAGAATACATGTTACCTCCTAAAAAAAACTCCATGTGGCAGTTTTCCATTCACATATACAAAATTAATTGTTATCAAAGTTTATGATGCAAAATCTGTCGCTCGACGTTTCCCAAGGCAACCTGCGGAAACTGAGGACCCTCCGTAGGTCTAATGCATTTCCATGTTTGGTATAAACTCATTTATTCTGCTTTAGACTATGCGGGCCAATATTCCGCATATTCTCAGTTGTATGTGCCGTTATCTGTTGGCGTGTTAAATTGACCGCACACATTTTTACTATTCTCTCGATTTTACGCTTGTTGGCGCTCGTTTCACGCTTGTTGGCAACGCAATTCGTGGATTTTGGGGCGCGCCACGCTTATCGTGGTAAACCCAGCACGCGACTGGTGACGAGGCGCTGAAGAGATATTGTCATCAAATGTGACCCTACCGTAACTAGTTTCTTCCGTAAACACTTTATGCGTTCACACTCGCAGCAAAAGCTTGTTAGGTTAACAGATAAAACTTGTTGTGCCTCGAGTGTCGGTAACGACAATAATTTGATCGTCAAAGAGACAAGTTTTAAGTGCTATCCAAAAGCCTGTGGGCAAAACCGTGCTTCCTTTGATGGGATTCAAACTGAAGTCATCTAGCTTACTGATGCCATCTTTTTCCCACTCGACCATCGAGCTAGCCGAGGTCGGATCGTTGGCTTGGATCGATACGGCACTGGGAACCGCAATTAACAGCTTAACTTAATGAAATGTTGTCAATTTGTTGTCAGTTGGACCAGAAAAGGGCTATTTTTTGTCATGTTGACCAGAGCACAATGCGATAATCTTGTCCTCTGGCTCAATGAGTCGACGATTATCTTGTCAAAATCTTGTCAGTTTGACAAACGGTACATCTTGTGTTCATTTCAGTAGGAATAGAATCCACTGGTCGAATGTTTTCAGCACATCAGAGCAAAAAAATCTAGGCTCAGTGTTTCCAGTATTCAATTATCATGAGACGGCTGTCACAATTGTTTTTCCGAGTGTGCGGTAACATTCGATTACAAGTCTGAATCAATGGAACCTGCAGGTTAGCTTGGAAAGACCATGCGCGTGACCAGGCGAGTGGGGCTCATGTAGAATTTCTTCGGGCAAAAACTCACCAGAGCCCTTTCAGATGAAAATGTAAAGGTCCTGAACTTCGAGGCTTATTTCTTACCTCCCGCCTATAGTCCCTGCACCAAAACACCCACTTTGCGGAAAGTGACGCACAAACCTAATTTCCGGAGTCACATTTTATTTTATTATTATTTAATGATAGATTTTATTTTAATTACCCGTTGCCACAATGAATAAATGTAACACAAATAAACATTTTCCATTTCTACATAATCAATCCTCTGCCCTATTGGCCTCCACACTTCCTTTACCATTGCTGTAATTACTAGTGTCCGGACACCGGAACAGCACCGCTTCCCACAAGGATACTGTGAGAAACGACAATTCCAGAACCTCATGTCCCAGAACAGAAAGTCCAGTTCGACAGAGTTACTATTCTACTTGTTATTTGTAAGTTATTTTTACATTACGACATTAGGGAACCTTTGTTTGCTATTTTTCATACAAAATACACGACAGAAGGAAGGTCAAAGCGCTTATTATTTTCTTTCGTTTTAGAGATCTTTTCTTTCGTTTTGATGAGAGAGTGATGACATGTAAACAAAAGTGCCATGCTACATGTAAAATAAAATGGTTAAAACAGAGTGACTTCGTGACTCAACCTAGGCACCTAAATAGTCGACTCAAAAACCACTCAAACAATTTTGGCTTAGGCCTAAACGACGGTAAATTGGCCCAACTTATAGTCCAACTTATAGGGTGAGGATCGTGCATGGGAATGTGATAGTCAGGATGATATGATCACGGGCATCACAACTTTCTGCCCAAAAAAGAATCAAGTCGAAGCGAGAATGAGGCCGCCCGAAAGAGGATTCGATGTGGGAAGAATAAGGGCGTTCCCCCACCCTCTCGCGAGGAGAACTCCCTTCCCCGAAATAAAAAAGATTGAATTTAAAAGCAGGTGGCAATAGTGTTGCACAACGACAGAGTTTACAGAGAAGTGCATCAAACCATGTTTTTGCGTGGATTTCCCGTCTAAATGTAGAACCATTTTGACCAAGACAACAAACCACCATGGTCAATAACGGCATCGAGGTCAGTCGATGATGGTCGTGCTCCAGTACGGCACGGTCAGATGTTGAGGTTAATTTCAGTATGAAGCTGACGGAGGTGTCCTTACATTGAAAAGGGTAAATAATAATTAAGTCATCATTGCTTGCTCAATCAGACTACTAGAAGGGTTAGGGGATGTGGGTGTTATTTCAGTCAAAAAAACCAAAATATTTTACTCGTGTTTCGCCAGGCAGAAACATGTTAATCAGAACAAAATGATATCAAACAGTCTAGAAGCCAAAAATTAAGGTTCAACGCTTTATCATTTCCAGAGATTGGTTTCAAATGTGGGAAGGTTTTCGTTGCCAGTGGTATAATGTAGGTGTTCACTGAACGGATGCATTAACCGATTTTCCACGCACCCCCCCGGTCGGCAAGCCAAAGAAGACACCAGTGAGAACTTAGCTGTACCTTCCTCCCTTCACAGGCTCCTCCTACCATCCATGGAGCCCACGTGGCCATCTCTTCCTCCGGTGATTGGTCAGGCCAAAACGAGGTGACACGGATCTCACCCCAGCTGTCCCTTTTTTCACCTGACCGCTGCCCATGACCTGGCCCGACCCTCAGGCCGCACCGCCCGGCGATCGCCAAATTGAGAATAAACAACGCGTCGACCGTGACCATCAGAAGGCGTTAAAGAAAACTCGTCTAACCCATCGAGCAACGACGCAAACTGTCAGCTTTTGAAGAGACGGTGTATTGTTTCAATGTTAATTGCCGACAATTATTAACACATTTGAGAAGTGTTGATCGATGTTCTCTTTAGAGCCTGGCATTAATGTGTGACTGAAACCGACGTATATTTTTAAGGACTTGAACAGCTAGTCTCATTGGGAATTGCAAGTGCCATTCTTAGTTCAAAGCACAAAATAGTTATTATCATCAACTTGTCTGATGACACACGGTGGCTCGCCTGTCAACCATAATCTTATTGTTTTTATTATTTCTGGTGATGACACAAAGAAATCGTCAAATTGCCCTGCAGCTAGAAAGCCTGAAGAACCCGTAGAGAGGAGACAACGAGAGACAGTTTATACAGTTGCAAAGGTGGGCAGAAACCCTTAGGAATGCTCTAGGTAAAACCTATGGAATCTTCAGGTACTGAAAACCTCAATCCACATGGGGACCGAGCCGGGAACCGAACCTGGTCCGCAGAGCTGGAACACAAAAGAAGATCCACCACGCGAACCTGACTCTCCTGGTTCTGGCTCAACCTGGCTCTAATGAGCTGAAGAGTTCCACCCTGGCAGAATGCAACTCGCTGCAGACGCGTCTGTGCGCGCAGCGCACGTTTATAGCGGGCTCCCGTGACTTGACGCAGTGCACCATTCACGGCGCACTTTTTAAGACCTGACTCCACCAGAGCCACTGAGATGATGTAAGACTGAACTGCATGGAAAATTAAGTTCTGGTATCGATGTAGGCCTACTTCTCCTCTTTCCTTAAAAGCAAAAACATCTCCAGCCTTATGTACAGAAATGAGCTACAAGTGCATGAAGAAGCATCGGAATAAAACTTCCCTAACTAGGGTGGTGAAACGCCCAATCCATACTTGGCCTCAAAGTTTTTCCAGGACAGCCCGTACAGCTCAGGGTAAATGCTGTTTATTTTTAAAGTGCGCATAATACAGAAAGGTTCCCCACGCTTCGTTGAATTTGAGGGCATGAAAAACCGGAATAAATCAGGGCAGAGGTGGAACTGTCGTGGAGCGTAGTGTGTGGGGGCGCTTGTTTGCTTTCCTCAAATACCTAAAATGTTTTTACGGATTTCGCGAGAGAGTTAAAAGGCCCACTTAAGTGGATGTGCCAAGTTTGCACACCGAATCCATTTTAACCGTTTCCTGCGTGGTGCATACGCAAACATGAAACAGTCACCCGGAAGCGACCCACTTTGCTTGTTCCGCGGCCAGCGAACGCGTCACACACGGAATGCAAGGGTGCACGGGGATATTCCACGGGGGCGTGGCCTGGGATAGCCCAATTCGTTTATTAACTTACATTCGGTGACCGGCCGGGAAGTTATTAGTCATGGTAATATTCTATTAGGGAAACACGGGCACTACCAGGGCATAAAAAGATGAACACGATGAGTTCACCTGTCACTGCGGCATTGGAAGTCGGTGACAGAGGTCGTCAGCTGATCCAAAACGTGAGAGAGAGAAATTGGAAAGGGCCAGTTTGATTCGAGTCGCGCAGAACAGTGTACAACACAACTTAGTTACAGTAGACGAGAAATCAAGCCTTTTAGGTGTGTACCAGTGAAGTTAAAAAGGAGGTAATAGTCTGTCGTTTGGCTTTTTTTTGTGAAGATGAAGACCGCTTCGAGACAGATGTTGCAGGTTGTGGCTCTCTTGAGCTGTGTTGCTGTAATTAGTGTCTTCGGAGACTGTGTCAGTGATGAGGCGAGGAGCGTGGAGGACAGGACTCGTCGGGTCCCGCTGGTCATCAAGGGAGTCGTGGTCGCTCGCGGGCAGACTGGTAATCCCCGCACGTTCACCATCCGCGTCGGCAAGATCCTGAAGGGTGGCAACGAGTCGGTGGCCAGCTCCCAGGTCGAGATAGCCGTCTCGGAGGGTATCCAAACCAGGGGAACCTCCACCTTCAGCCCAGCTACCCCCGACGGGCGGGCGAGCAACGCCACGAGCATCGTGACGGATGATGACGGGTTGGCCGATGGGACGACAGTTGTGATGATGACCGGGGCGGGCGAGCTGATGAGCAGCACCCCGCAAGAGGTAACGCTCGCCCCATGCCTGGACGGACTCAACCTGCTGGACCGCTACATCTTCTTCCTGCAGCCCATGGATAAGGAGGGCAGGATCTTTGAGGTTGTTGAAGATGGGCTTCCCCAGACCCGGGAAAACCTGAGACGAGTCAGACAGACGGTCAAGGAGGAATATGATGGTGAGTTGAGGTTTATTTTTTTGTGGAGACTGTTCCATCTAAGAATTCTCTGAGATTTGTTGAATATTTGGAAAGCCAAGGCTGAAAAGTAAAGTTAGCCTTGCTGCTCTCAAAGAATCGGTGCTTATCAAAATTGAAACAAAAAAAAGAACGTAGTTATGTGTCACATTAGTTTACATGCAGGTTTCTTCAACACAGGTGCATAATCAAATTAAAATGTCTTCAATTATGTGGTTCGGTTAATTTCCATTTCGGCTCATTTGCCCCATTTTAGTGATCATTCATGTCACATATGTTCCTATTTTGCTGGTCTTGCACAACACAGACCTCCCTACTTGTTTACGCTTTAAAGTCACAATGAAAACGTAGATTTCTGTCGTTGCGAAATCTTCCACGGCACCCTTTTTTCCCCATGAAATCAAAGTTTCTATTTACTTACATACTGCACGCTTGCCTGCGCGCTCACTGAATGGTTTTGTTTGGTATTGTTTACCTGTGCCGACTTGTTCGGCGACGTCACCGTTGCTATTTTTACAGTCGAGCGAACGGCGTCTGGTAACCAGGTGTGATGCAGAGGGCGCCCTTGACAAATACCACGAAGAATTTTGTTCGTTTTTTTAAAGGCAATCGGATGTTTTGGCCCCTTTAAATCTCGTGGCTCGCTATCACGCGATGACACGTGGTCCTATTTGGCTGAAAAAAAAACAACAAAAATCCTCCAACTTGGCCCATGCAGACAAAACCAAAGATAAGACGGATTTGGTGGTAGAGCTACCGATCATCACGAGCGTTTGGGGTGCACTACTACAAATAAATTCCCATAGACAGCAGTGATAAATCCCCATACTTCACAAATATTTAACCCTAGAATACTCACAACTCTAACAGGTGTTCAGGCTGCACAGAAAAATGATGTTCCACACGTCCCCTTTCATTTTCCTTTCAATTTTTGAGAAATTTTCACCATAAGCAGACCACCCCTAAAAGGAAGAAAATATCCCTGTCCTGAAGAGTAGCCCTTTTGAAAACCATCCCTCTGCAAAATGGCTCAAATAGTTCCACTTTCGAACCTGATTGCATCCAAATTGCTCAGAATCGGAAGCCCTCAGTCCGGCCCAGAGGTTCAGCCTCATATTTCTTTAATTTCACAGTTCCGTGGCTCTCAGGACCCTCTATGTGTATAACTTTAATTAATGAGCTCGGTGGGCATATTTCTGGCCTAAATACAAGGGTGCACCCTTCGGCGAGCGGGACAGTTTATCCTCATACAGCGCAGAGACCAACATCCGGAACTTATTTTAACTGGGCCCCTGCAGCTATTTTGACAACAGTCGCTAAACTCGCCTCTAAATCAAATTGTCTACGTATGATATCTTTACGCAGTACATTTAGCATGTCCGAAAACAAAATAAACGAACAGGCACTTAACTTAGACCTCAAGGAGGTTCGATTTTTTTGTTTAGAGTGCGACTGTTGTGACCAGTTTCTAGTCTTGAGCTCCAAGGTTTGACCCAGTTTTGACGGAAAAATAAAATAAAACAGGTTGTATGCTAGAGACTACACCAGAGTGCATCTATAGGCCTAAAGTTTGCAACGTTTCTCAGGATATCAGGGCAAACATTTAAAAAAAACCGGAAAGGGTTGGCTTGAAAAGATTTCTCTACTGACAATTTTCTATTTTTAACCATCCTCGATCCTTTAGGGAAACTGCCTGCTTCTAGGCTTAAGCAGAGACTATAGTATGAGCTCCCTCCCTTGAAACTGGCTGAGAACTTCCCCTGAATATTCCGTTTCGTCCCTAAAGTATACGCTGTGTCGTGCATAATTCAGGTACAAATTACAACTTGCATATTATTACTTTTGCCCAGACCCACGTGTTGGGTCGATGGGTTCAGAGTTAAACGCATTAGTACATGTACAATCTGTCGCACGGAGTGACTCATGATGCTTCAAGTGGCATTCTGGGCGTCTGGCCGTCTGGGATAGCTAATCCAGCTCACAAGACCAGCTTCAAGCTAAACCCTTCCCATGAATCACGAGGAAACATTTGCTGTCAAGATGACAAGATCTATCATCACTGCGCCTTTCTTGCGTTGATAGATGGAGTATCAAAGGCCGATCATGCAATCTTGTCGCTTTGCGCTAAAAACACGCCGGGTTATTATGGACTGCCTCACAGTGGGGGGGGGGGGGGGGATTCTGCTCTCCACCCCACACACCCCCTTGGACTAACTTTTTTTAACTTATTGTGCACGAGAAGACACTCCTTATCAGAACCAAAAATTCAACTCATCTGACATCTGGTTCTGTATTGTGGTCATATGAAGTTCAAGGCCACACGCGTTTCAGCCCGAACGCATTGAGCGTGGCAGAGGAAATAAAGTAAACATTTTTAGCTGTCTCGGGGGTAAAATGGGCGCTGCGCGAGAACGGTACGTCCGATTGTCACAAATTTGGTGTCAAAATGACTCAAAAGTGTAACTTAAAATGGAAACAATGCACTGTGGTGATATCAGAAAAAATATCGAGGGCAAGGTTAAATCAACCAGATACTATGTTATTTCCGACATTGTCATTGCGATTTATGAACAGCCTTCATTGGTAGATAATACCGAGTCATTCTTGAAACTGCTGAAAGCCTAATGAATATTTGAAAATAAATAGCATTATGAAGAGTGGTGGGAGTCCTCCCTCACTGCAGTACTAGGTCACTGGACTTAGATGGCACCTAACTTCCCTCAAAACGCACCGTAGACGGAATGGCCTTCACGGCCGTTTGAGGGCGCTATGCCAGTTATCGAAAATGACTGTGAACGCAGCACGCGGTAAATTTAAAGCGTGTGGCAATCTGCTGAAAATGGCCATGTTTTGATGTCGTTGACATGCATGATTGCATCACGATGAGCAATGGACCCTAAAAGATGAAAAAAAAACCAAGGCCGCACTTGATAAAGCACAGCAAAGTTTAGTATGTACCAAGTAAATCAGCACAAGTTGGCTAGGGACCAATCGAGCGAGATACAATGCGAGACATACTGGTAGCCTGCATCTGCAATGCAATCATCTTATTTGCTTTGGAAATTGCTATTCTTGGATCACCTGTAGACTCTTCGTGAATATTGTATAATGGCGTCGTTGGGGTACTTTCTCTCCACACTGGACTGAGGGATGACGAAGGCCGAAGTGCACCCCTAACCCTCTGTTCCACTTCCATTATGACATTGCATCATGTCAAAGCAAACAGAAACGTGAGCAGAGCCGAATTCGAGAAAAATCCAGACGAATGATGAAATACGATTGCAACATCTACTCTCACCGGGGGAATTAAAAAATGCAATGTCACGCCGTGTCAAGTGTGGCCTGTAACTTTCTAACTGAGAAAAAAGAATGTCAAAATTGCCTCGTGTGTTTATACTATTGGATGCATGGACAGGAAGTAAACAGATACGGGGTTGAGAAGTTGTGTAAACATTCTTGGGGATCCGCGGAAGCGCGCAAAGTAATTGCCCCCTCTCACTCGCGGGATATAGAATAAGTGTGTTTTCACTCCCAAACGAGATAAACTTGGCACCCTCTAATGCCAAATAGTGAAAATTCGCTCCCTCCGACTGTGAAAAGACGAATTCGGGGGAAAGTTCCTCACTCTAATTTCACTCGAACTCACTCTACACCTAGTCCAGTCCTCGTTTTCCATGTTTAGAAATAAGAGATCAAGTTGTGATCACAGGATGAACGCACAGCTTAGACATTTTTTTCCGTTGCGGAAGGCCGGACACAGGACATTTTAAGACCTTTTGACTACCAGTCGGTGCCAGTTAGTACAATTGCGAAAAAGGAAAGTTTTTTTTTTAACTTTAACAGTTATTGAGATCAACAGTACCACTTCCGATGGCTAAAACGAGAACTGACGTGATGAATTAAAATTCATGGTCAACACAGTTCATGTCTCAGTCCTAGCCTATACGTGTGTCCGAATAAAGTAAATCCTGAGATCGATTTTGTACAATTTCAACAGTTTTTGATGATGAAATTGTCTATTTTCGGACTCGTTCTAACCACGTCTTTTTCATGATGTCATCACCTGAATCGGCTGAATGGTTATAGGTATGACGTCATTCTCACGCGCGGTATTGGTACGAGGTCGACTCGGAGGAGACGACTAGTTGTTTACATTGGCAACCGCTCACGTGTCCGTGGGAACCCGTCGGTATGTCCGTCTTGCTCGTAGTCTTGGTTCAAGGCGCTCGGGGAAATTTTGAAGCTATATATACAGCCGCGCAGCTCTCTTGGAGCTTTATGAATAAATAATGTCTAAAATGAAAGAAAAATCATCCATGATGGACTTGAACAGAGTCTGTGAGATACTCGCACTGTGGTTACTTGAAGACTCGAATTTTTGTAAACTGATTACAGATAAACAATTCAAATACACGGATTTGCAAGTCTGCTACAAATTAATAACTTCCGTTACGGATAAAGTCAAATCCCACGTGTGGTTTCCATGCTTCTGTTGCATATTGAAGAAAGTTACCGATGAAGTGCCCTCATTTCTAACTTTTATAAAGTGCCACATCACAATTTCTATTATTCATGTTTAAAACGTATCCTGGAATTTCAACAAAGAATGAACAGACCCTTCCAACCCTGTGGTTCAAAGTTTTAATTGACTCCGTTGTCAATTTAATATAGGTCTTACATCGAGATCAAATCGGTATAAAATACAACGATGAATTTCATCGGTATCACGGTCTCAGTGCTTGGTTCAAATCTTTTTTAAAGAGAGGATCTGCAGAGAAAACAAAAATCCCACTGTGAAAATAGAGTAGAACATGAGTGGGCGGAACAATTCCCACATGTGGGCCGGGTCTCACTGCTTGGATCTCGGCTATACACGTTGTCAGATCACTCTTTAACCTAACCCAACGGCAGCGATCCTGCCGTGCATTCCAAGCATACCTTTCCCTTTGTTCCCGGATATAAAAAAGAAACTAGAGAGAGAGAGAGAAAAAAAAAAGTACTTCCGATTTTATTGTTACTCTGCATTGGCCGATGGGTAGCACGTGCAAACAATATGTTAACTGGGATTTGTCTGTCTAACTTTCCTCTTAGGTGGAAAGGAATAGATTGAAGGATAACCAGTGAAGGTTTAAAGATGCTCGAGTGAAAAGGGTATATATCTCCAGAAAACTTTTTCATTGACAAAAAATATTATCCTGGCCGTATTCCATTACCACCAAATCCACTATGCATGCATACCGGGGAAAGTTTTCGAGGTCAAGGTTTCAGAGCAGTGTCAACTTTTCCAGCTTTTTGTCAAAAACTGCATAACAGGCGGATAAATAACATCAAACTAAAACATGAGAAATCAAATGCTTCATAATGTAAGGAACAATAACTATAAATCATTTGGGTATTTTTGACGTTTGGTGTTTTAATTTGGAAAATTTTGAGGACAGAACATCACAAAGTGCACGTCTTTCTTGGAAGCGACTCGAAAACTGGACCAAGCCACCAAGTCAGTCTACTGAAATCCCTACAATTTAAAGCATTCCAGCATTCATACGCAATGTTTGAAGTGGCAAAGATAAGTCCCGGTGCAAATTATTAAAACCTTATTTCTCAGCAGATGTATAACTGGCACCCGTTTGCAAGTGCTATCGGAACACGCTTGTATCACGCGAAGCACGTGGTCGCCAAACTAAATGCGCTGTTTCTATAGACAAACCTCCTTAGCAAGGTTTGTCATTGTTGACATTGTGATGGAATTTGACCCAGGGTATTCACAGCTAGTTGGAGAACAGTGACCGGTGTCGAAATACGTGTTCATTAACACGGCTTCAATACAGAGCGTCAAACTCCAGTCATCGTGAAACTTAGTAAAGAGAATGGCGAAACGATAGGTCTGTCTGATGGCTGATACGTTTCAACTCAGGATCCGGATTTCCAGTACAAGGTCATTAGGTTAACGATACGCGAGAATTCTGCGTATTCTAGTCACGACGCTAGACGTACCACTAGACTTCCGGTGAAAAAGAGGTCCATACAGCGGTGCTTCCGGTTATAACATCGCCATTGTTCATTCAGCTCTTTTTGATGGCTGCACGCAAAGTGGGTGTGACCTTTCGACGAGAGCGGCGGGCACGGACGGCTGGGGTGGGAGTCTAGGCTTGGCTATAAATAGACGGCGCTCGTGTTGCTGTTGCGACACAAGCCCACACACGTGTGACGCGCTCAGACAAGAACGGTGGAATTTTTTCCCTCCTCAGGCCGCCAGTAGCACCGAACAGAGCCGTGAAATCGTCACTTTCTCTACGGTGCCTCTTGAGATTGCAACCTCTTCAGGAGTTGCTTAATTGTGAAGACGTCTCCTTGCTTCCTTCTCGAGCTCGTTCGTCTTACATCAGAGGCACACCTCTCTGCAGTGCGGGGATTACATCACTAGTCGAGCCGGAACAGTCACATTCCGCATCTTCGTATCTTTTTGGAGTTCTTGTGGATCGAAATGGCCTCTACCGCCTCGCCGAGAATGAGATGGGTGTACATTGACAACATCCAAGGCTTGCTGGACTGGGGAAGTAAGAACTTTGGCTTTAATTTTTTTCCCGTGTCTTGTTTTTCCCAAAGAAGTAAAGATCTCTTCTCATTCGGGTGCTTCGTTGCCATGCAAATACTCACTGAGAAAGCGCTCTGTACGAAAAATAGGACCATGGTTCACTTCACATGTCGTTACTTCTCAACAAAGACAATCTAAGGTCTCGATGTTAATATTCATGCAATCAGTTTTCTTTTCAACAACACAAATTTGACTCTTTCTTTTTTTAGATTTAGCCTCCCATGATCATTGTTTTGTATATTTCCGACTTCTTGTTGAACCGGCACTTTAACCAGCGTTGCTCTTGATATTTTCCATCAGCTTGGTCAGAGAACTACAAAATCGACATGCATGGCCCTCCGTAGGTAGTGCGCGATCGTTACCTTATTATACATGTATAGTCCGTAACAACCTGCCTCCGTCCGTGTGCTGGATTCGAGCCTAAAATCAACAGATACGGTATCGATTTGTGGTACGTGCGGGTTCTACGCCCGGCACGCCTAGCCTCTAAGTGCACGCGGCGCATTGGTCACTCATTTTAACCGTGAAAAATAAAATCCTGATCAAGTTGCCACGACACTGCTACTGTTCATTTACACACGTAACGCTGGAGGCTCGTTGCACCAACCGTTAAAGTTTCCAACAAATAAATAATTTCCCAGCTTATTGTGATAATTGTAAGCCTTTTGGCAACTTGCAGAGACACTATGTGGATTATGATAATGTACCGTCTTATGTGGGTGTGGCTAGTTTGACAGCGGTGGGGGGTTAACTGACAATCATGACAGCCGCAGTTTCCGAGCATGTCTAGTCTCACCGAAAGTGAATGGAACGCGGGAACAGGTTGAGTGTCATCTTGCAAGACGAACCGCAGAAATGCCAAGTTCGTGTCATGCCATCGAATGTGCTCTGTAAACGAAGGGTATCTGTATGCAGCGATGATGACACACGTCCTCCGGGCATCGGAGGCCTGTGTGCATGCCTGCATAAATCCGACTTGTTAATCATGAAATTTTTCCACCGCCACAGAGCTAAGCATGCATGTGACATTCAAATATCAATTACAGTTAAACTTTCATAACCGAAAAAATGTATCCGTGTGTCTTTTCAACCCCCCCCCAATCCTTGCTCCACTTAAGCTCCTTATATATATAATTATTTTTCAAGATGTAAATAATATCTAACAGTCGTTTAAACTTAAAGTTGTCGTTGGTGTTTTGCACCTAGCATTCCAACACGGCTCAACATGGCCACAGTGTTTATTGTCGTTCTGGGCCTTACCACACACGCTGAATCGGTTTCAAAATAACCCAGGCGAGGGTAAACAAATTGTCTTTCATTTTCCCCATCTCCTTTGGTGTGTCCTTTTATGAGGCTGACAATATAACCCTTTCAAGTCCAATGTAGCCTGTTGACGAGAGCAGGTATTATTTTGTAGCGCGCTGACCCGTCACGGTGGCATGCCGTATTGTAAGTTACAGCGTTGTATCCGTGACGCTGAAAGTGAAATTGAAAGGTTTAAGCTACTGTTACAAGTTTCCATTTTTTAAAACCAGTTGCCAACAATTTTGTGACCTTCCTCTTCATAGTCTCCATTTTATGTAGCCTATAGTATTGTGTCTCTGATAATAGACACAGCTGAGTTTTAGTTTGCTTCCCAGATGCTCTTGGTCTTGCGGGTATTTATTTTCAAAATTAGCACGATCTTTGGTCCCAAATATTTACAGTCCTTGAGGTCTCGCACGCGTCTCAATTTGTCTCACCGACCCCCCCCCTCATATTACACTACTGAGTCGGTAGTCGTTCTGCACTGCAGGTTAACTGTACGACACGATGTTCTTCACATCGATCATGCTTTGTCTGTACCATGTGTCCGGTTATGACTGCCATTCAGAAACGTGTAGAGGCAGTCGCGCACTGTTAGCGTAGCGACCTCAAGTTTGCAACAATAATTATATTTCCTGATGTAGCGTGATTTTCTTCATTGTATAATTCGCTGCGCAGCCACGGTACAAGCTTGCTTACATCAAGAATTACGCATGAAAAGGGCACCCACGTGTTTCCAAACGATCGGCATCCAACATACTGCATATTGAAGCTACAAAGTAAATGCCGTTGATTCAACTTTACAAATTGGGCCCATCACGGTTCAGTGGAACGAGGTTGTACTTCCTTTTCATCAATTTCCCCTTTATTTTCTTTGGCACCCGAGCAGAATTTTTATTTCTAAATTTCTAAATTAACAAGCATCATAACCGTATGCTGGGTCTCGTGACTAAACTTGTGGGCTATTTTTAGAGGAAGAGATGGTCGATTTTCGGCGTTATTAATCAGCTTGTTAGTCTAACACGCGCACGTGCACATCTCGTTTGAACCTTTACTATATAAGATAACGCGTCCATGGGGCCGGGGCGTGGCAAAGTGATTCGTTGGAGGATGCAAAACACGGTGCTGCCAAAGTTATTTTTGAAACGTTTCACTTACAACATCTGAATGGGGATTTTCATTGGTACTCGCTATAATTTGTACATTTTGTGCTGCTTAATTTTGCTTTCGAGAAGAAGGAAACACGGTAGTGCTTGTATTGGCTTATATTGATCCCAAAATAGTACAAGAAGTGTTTCATAACTTTACGGTACGTGCAGATGGAGGAATGGACTAGATTTGGGTAACCCAGTGCCCCCCTTGGTAGTATCATGGTCGAGGAAGTTAAACAATATCTGCATCCGATAGCAGGAAATCGCAGTGAGGAAGATCGTCAACTTACAAAGTATGCTGTGCAAAGAAACAGTAATAACTTCACGGAAACCATATCGAGGACAGGTAGAGATTGAGGTGTCGAATTCGTAAAGATCGCCCAGGCTAAACGGTGGCATAGTACAATAACCCGGCAAATATGCAAGACTTTCTCTCATTGAACATTTTCGTATTTGATTTCCTTCGTTGTAAAACATGGAGCATTTTGTATACCCATCCACCATTTTTGTAGGTCAGTTTTCTCAGTCAAAAGTAATTTTCATGCAAGTAAATTTCAAGGCAGGTGGAGTTTTGGCAAAGCAAAAAGGGACACCATAACATAGCCAACCGTCACCACTTTATTCCAGGGTCGAATGGACATCCAAGTCGGCGTACAGTAATCATAATAACATGTCATAGCTTTGGTGAAGACAACGAAAAGAAACGTCCAATTAAAGCCCCGCAATTTCATCTCCAGTTTACTTTCATCATGGAGACTGTTTGCTTGGAAGTTTTTGTCCCCAATTTTGCCTCCCTGGAAACATCTCATTCCGAGTCCAACATCCGGATGATGTGTCTTTAACACGTTTCTATTTCTCCTGATCTTTTTTTTCTTCACAGCTAACGATACCCTGCCGGAAGACGACCACAGGAGTCTGTGCACAGAACCCAAGTACGTCAACCACTATTGCTTCAACGGAGGCACGTGCGCAGTCTGGATCAACCAGGATAAGTACTTCTGCATGTAAGTAGATACGACCCTCGGGTTTCCGAGTGTTGGAATGGAACCGGACAACCTGGCACGACACCCTGCAGCGTTCCATTCGCAGGAGAGTAAAATTACAAGCGCGTGTGGCTGGCGAAATCCCACCCACATTGAGAATTGCAGAATTTCAGTTTACATCTATGTGACGCCTTCTCCCCCCCCCCCAAAAAAAATGCAGACGAAAACGGTTTTCAATGTACAGCTCCCTTCATCACTTGTATCTTGTTGTTGCGCGGCTGTAACAAGCACAGCTTTCGATTTAAGTATCCTGTCTAAATGGAAAAACGAACAACACGGTAAAATTGGGGAACAAAATCGCATCGGGCTAAAAAGATCGAAGAACAACACTTTTTCATCACATGAACCAGTTCATTAAAATGCGATGCACATGGACAGAATAACTTGAGCAACCAATGTGTCATTGCATGACTGCTCTTGCTCAAACTATAGGTCTCAAAATTCGTCCAACAAAGATGAAATGATTCTGTCGACAAATACAGGTCCAAAAATGGCCCCAAGATCAACGAGGTATTTCAATGACAAGTAAACGAGTCAACTTGACAATTCTCCCAAACTGTCATTTTAACCACTTTGGATCATCAATGCCCAAGTTATTTTGAATGGCCTTTTCCCTGTCGCCTGTTTCAGATGCAATTATCCCTACTATGGTGAAAGGTGTGAACATGTCGATCCAGCTTTGCAAGCAGAGGGTGAGTATCCGATTGAGATCGGAATTTTTATATCACAAAGATTTTGATGCAATGTCTCATCAAAGTCAAGGTATCACCAGTCAGTGTTTTAACGTCATTTCTGCTTGCGTTTCAGATCGCCCAGTTGTCATCAACGACACAACTCTAGCTATAGCTGTCATCATGTCCACACTTCTTGTTCTTACGGTCATCTGCATAATGGCTTACATCAGATACAAGTGAGTTCGCTGTTAAATTCGTCAGCATGTTTACATACACCCTCATTCATTTAATAATGTGTAAGTTAGATCAGCCCGTCGCCAACCGGTTGTATAGTTTGGTTGTGGTCTTAGTTGATCACTGCGGAAGGTTTGGGCTTTCCTTGACACACGCACCTATAAAAGCGACCGTTTTTGTTGTTCAGACTGGATGACTTTTTTGCCAGTTGCCCTAATATCGATGAACGTGAAATTGAAATCTGAACCTTTTTTCCTTGATGAGAGCTTCTATATTATATAACCATCGGAAATGGCAATTTGGAAATGTTTACATTCTTTGCCTCGACTTGTTTTTTTTTTAAAAGGAATTCTATTTGGCGGGAAAGGAAGAGAGAAGTTGAGAAGACTCTGAAATACTTACAGGAGCGCTACCCCTCCACACCGTCCCGGAGAAACAGTCCACTCCCAGGCATCTCAAGATTAAACAACAACTCGGTAAGTGGCGAACTATAGCTTGAGCCCCATTGGACAGCTTGAGTTTAGCGTAGTGGTATACTTTCTTCACCGTCTATCTCTGCAATCCGGGGTACCGGTACACATTCCGTGGGTTTATCTTGTCATCTTTGGCCCACCTTTAAAACTCAACATTTTTTCCTAATCTTTTGCATTGTCAGTTATAATCATCCGGTAACTGGAGATTTTGAGACGCATGGTAGTGGCAGACAAACCGGTCCTTCTCCGTATAAGTGCTCAGAACTAACAGGCATTCCTAGAATAGCACGCGCATGCCCACATCAAACAAAAGGACAGTTGTGTCTGCCGCCACCATGCGTCTCAAAGTCTCCCATTGGCGGTTGCACTTTTGACTGAAGACGAGATAAAGAAATACTCTTTTCCAATTATTATGGAGATAAGTGAGAATGTCCCCTCTCCCTTGTGCCCTTTGCTAAAGTAATATCTCATAAATATTCACATAATTTGACATAAAATGCATCAGATGTAATTTTCATAGGGCAAAGGTTAATAAGTTAGACAAAGAAAAAGCAAACACCGGGTTTTTTAAAAAACAAATCAAACAAAGAAGGTTTGCTTTTCATTAGCTGTTAATAATCGTTGACAAGGTCAAGTATCGATAAAGAGAGCAGTATATCAATCTCTTAAAAGAAAATGATGCCATCATATCACAGATGTTGAGATTCGAAGAAGTACGTTTGCCATTTGCTAGGAATTTGCTCAGCAACCGGCGAACTTTCAGTATGCACCCCTTGCCTGATTTCATGGGCCAAATAAACAAGTCTTTGAGCCTGTTTGTTTCACCTGGATCCGAATCATATCAGTGATACGTCGTTGGTTTACTTACACCAGAATCTGCGTAATGGATGGAGCGAACCGGCGTTGGTATTACCGATCCAAATCCAACTGCCAAGCAAGCACACCTTTTGACTAAATTATTTCTGTGAAGTAGCCTGTGAGGCTGTGTCCCAAAGTTTTGGCTGCGGCTGCCGCTAATACACGCCTGTGGCAAATGGATGCAGCCTCTATAGTCACTGATTTAGGGAGTGTATTATTGCCAGCCGCAGCCATGACTTTTGGACGCAGACTCCTACTCCTGTCCATAGAACGAGACTGGTGCAAATGATTTGGAGGCCCGCTTTACGGTCTGCACGTGCTACACCGAAGTTATAACTCGATCGTGGAGCATATAGGGCACCCGACAAAATGCCCGTTTCCTCACGAAGCATGCTTTCAACTGTGATTATTGATGAGTTTCCAACACCCGTGCCCAATTATCTTTGCACCCTAGCCCCCCCTGAAAACGATGACTTATTCTTCCCACGGGAAACAACCCTACCATTTCCAATTGCCACCTTCATCCCAGGCGACCGATGCATGCGATGAGCCGATACAGTCTTGAATTCATTATCCAATTATAAATGTGACTGTGATTCATATTTCCCGTATACACAATGACATCATAACAGAGATGCAATTCAATAATGACTGCCTAATAATGTGAGGCAACTTCACACTGGGCGAGAACTTCCTCGCATTATAGTTCGCATAATTCACACGGCGCCAAACTATCATCTGTACGAGACCGAGCCAATGAGTCCCGCTCACTGCGTACGTGAGCACTTAACTCATACTTTACACTAGACGCGCCCACGAGGCCTCCGTACGCGCGTGCACGCATGTTGGACTTGCGTGCACGCATGTCAGATATAAATTCACGGTTGTGATTGGCCAGAAAAAAATGGGGCGGGGCGTTTTTAATTTCATTTCATTTTATTTCATTTCCTTTATTATTTCGCAGGTCAAACAATGAAATGACCAAAAAAAAGACAAAAGAGCGCCCCTGCCGGATTGCTAATAAGTTACCCTAAAAAATCTGGTAGCCCTCCAGGCGCATTTACAAGGTAACAAAACAGAAAGAAAAAAGCTTTAAACATACATGGACAAACAATTAAACATATAATACAGGATAATAATTTAAAACATACACTAGACACTCTGACGAACAGGAAACAAGAAAAAAATACATTATAAACACTGAACCCTTGAGAAAAAAATTCAAAATCCATACAGAAACAGGACTCTCCCACACGCCCACCCAATGAAGAAATATACTATGTTTGATCTGAAATAAATAACGTAAAAGGCAAAACCGAAAATGGGACACAGATTACAAAAATAGCGATGGGATACAGACAGCATAGATAAAAAATACATATAAACATGTAGAGAATAAATTTAAAAACATTAATTAAAATCTCAATTAAAAGAATACAAAATTAAAACGCATAGAACCCACTGCTTATAAATGGATAGGTCTATTATTTTCATGGCAACGAAAATAAAGTTTACAGAGGGAGCTCTTTTCAAAACGAGAGGAATCTTTTTCGTTAAACGCGCCGTCCTGTCTCCTTTCGTTATGCAGGCCATCAACGTTGAGGAGGGCGCCCAACAGATGATCGTCTTTCAAGACGCCGAGGGCAGACAGTCGAGACAGGGATCGCTGAGCTCCACCCAGTATCGGCTCCTCACAGAGGTGCTAACCCACCAGCCTGTGTCCCACAGGGCAAGCGTGGATTTCACGGAGCACACTTCGCATCGAGACTCGGCAAGATCGAGCGTCGTTTAGCATACTCTGTTTTTCTTTTGTTTTGTACATAGACTTAAGTTATTTTGTTTCTTTTATCGGTGGCACATAGCCATTTTGGACCAACCGAGGGCGCTGTGAGATTGTGCAAATGTGCATGCCACAATATATACTCCTTCGTACCGCTTCCATAAAACAACAGCTGGAAACGGCTGCCAATCTCTGCAAGAATAGTGTGAAAAGAGGGCAAAGCACTGTGGGTAAACCTACGTTTAACCCAGCCGCTCGTGCATTTTCGTTGTGGACCTATAGGTCACATGCAGATTCAAGCAGAACGTAGTTAAATTAGCCTCCGCCATTGGCATGTGGGGGCGGGAAAATTTTACTTTAATGGTGATTCCAAAATAGTACAGCGCCCACTTATGTCCAAATCTGAATGCTGAGGACCAACGAAAAGTGGAGTGACCAAGTTTAACAGCGACAGGCAGATAGAGTAATGGAGGAGTACTAAGACTAAGTACTATCAGAGCTTTGATCAGAGATGATTTCCTATCTAATGGCTACCAGCATGATGGTGGTCGACTTGTATTAGTATACAGAAGTGAGAAAAGACGTTTCTGTTTCTGTTTGATGGACTCTTTTGAGGGCCAGTTCATGAAAGCATTTTTTTAAAAACTAATTTTTTTGCTGGCTGCAGAATTGCCGAGGATCGTAGTTGTTTGTATGTTGATAATATTGTTGGTAGTGTAGATGATTACACATTAACCTATACTGCGCTTTTCCGGTCTGCATCTTAGTATCTTGATTGACAGAGTCAATAGTGTGATTAACTCTCTCTCTCAAGAGAGAGATTATCTTCCTTTAGAAGAACATTTATCAGTTTATTCCATCTGCTGGTGGAAACTGTCAAGTATTTAGGCGCGTGGAAACGTGAGCACGTGATTCGAGTCTCTTTTTGCGCCGATTTGTAACTCTATCAGTGTAAAACTTAATAGGGTAGAGAGGGTATCGCGGATAACTTCGAAGCAGCGCAGAAACAAACCCTGACCCTTAAACAGATGGTAAATACTGCAGTTTCTTCTGGTAATTTGCAGCATGCAGTTGAAGTTCATCCCTGGCTTCTCAGCAAACCATGACGTCATTGCATTTTATGTACGCCTTGGTCATCCAGTACAAGAAGCAATAAACGTCACAACATAATGACACCAAGCTTTATTCAAATAATGAGGCGCTTTCCTAAAACAAGTGATGTGAGACAAGATCCACCAGCGCCCCCCCCCCAAAAAAAGAGCGCAATATAATGTGAACAAAAGCGTGACGTTATTATGTTTGAGGTCTATGTGACAAACAGTTCCCTATACACGTAGTTTGTATTCTCCGTTGTTTTCGGGTCAAGGCGCGGCTGTCATGTATTCATTAGGTATCATTTGTTCAAGCAGTGTCCAAGTGTCTTGACAGAACGGTCAAGGAGTATACGCTTGGGAGCATATGATGTGTGCCAAAGGTCAAGACTTTCCGACATCTTAATTGTCCAGCGATTTCCTTCCACAGAACGGGACTTTCTTCTCGAAATTCCCCTTTACAGCTTTCTCGGCTTCTAATGCATAATCATTGCAGTGATGTCATGAACTTTACCGCTTTGTCTTACTTTTATTCCTCGCTTCCAATTCATTATGAATATTGCGTGATACTTCTGAAAGGACAGTTTGCTTTCTCAACAAACTTGTCGATAAAATGTAACTGTAAAGTTTAGCAGGTTCGTTTATGTAGTTGAAAACTATATTTATTGTAAAAAGTAACGTACACATATTGTCTGAGGGAAACCTACACATTATAAATGTGAATAAATAAATCTTATAGACTGAAACGAAAAAAGGTAGGCAGTTATTGCACTTATTGAGGTAAGCATGTTTTAATTCAAGTAATAGCCAATACCACTTATTATTTTGTTGCATGCGACAATCAGCAATTCGCGCGTCACATATTTCAAAAAGCTTGCCATTGTGACAGAGTGAAGGTAATTTTTGTGCACATTCAGATGGAAACAATTTTATTCGAGGGCTTCGTGTGATTTTTGTGATATAATCGTTGTGTTGGCATTGTGATCGTGAAATAAAGTACAGAGAATCTTTCAAAACGAGCTTTTCAAAAGTAAATAGTTCTGACATTTGTCTTTTCTTTCATAACAAAGATGCTGCAGCTGTTTTCTGGTTGAGGGCGGGCCATGTGTTTCAGCTCCCGAAGAAGCCGTACCAATTATACCAGGGTACGGAGGTTTAACCACGAACCATTGGTTTAACCCTTAGCCGGGTCAAAATCTGTTCCAATCCCCGGGAACACTTTTGTCAGATTTAACATTTGGTGTGAATTTTGTTTCAGCGAACCTGGCCTCAGCGCGCATAATCGTTTTGCGCCAATATTAAAAGAAAATTATTAACAACTATCCGATCCGAGCGGAGCAAAAGAGGGCGTGTTTTGTACTCAACCACATTGCATTGGTGTGCGTTTATAATGGAGATCAATGGCGCGTTTGACGCGGAGCACACTGAGTACGCGTAATGAATTTATTCCTTAATATATTGTCTTTTGGTCCGGCGAGTTTGGGCGACATGTTCTTAACCAAAGATGGTATTGCGCCGCTACGAGGCGCTACACTATCTTTGTTCTTGACACTCTTTTTTGTTTTCGCGCTCGAATGGTGGGAACACAAACCCAAAACACTGTTCTCGGAACAGTACACCACCTCCTCGTGAGGATTTTACAGGAACACACGGAGGAAGTGAGATTTTGATTTTTGAACAGATGCAAATAGTAGAGAAATGGCTTCCAAAGCCAGAGACAATGGGAAGTTTTGCAAATCAACATTAATTATTTTCCACAACACAGAAACGAATGTTCTTGTTTAGATAGAAAAGAATTTAGCCCATCCAAACTTTAACTCTCGAATAACGTACATGGACGCCGCCATGTTGCATGTTGTTTGCCACTATCACTGGTTGTTAGGGTTAACAAAAAACCGCCAAATCCCCACTTTTAGTGAAGCTTCCAAATAGGATAATGTTTGTTTTGATTTTGAACTTCCCAATCCAAATAAGAATTAGACAATGCACCACACACTAATCACTGCACTTTAGCCAATCTCTTAAAAATTAAACAGTTGTGATGGCGCCCTACAGCTTTACTATCACGAACGTCATCAATTTCTGACATCAACTCAAACCACAATGGTGATAGTACATGTATTGCAACATGAAGCAGCTCTTACACGCCTCATTGATTACATGGCACACTGCATTCCAGTAAGTTTGTGTGTATATAATATTGACCAAAATTCAGAGTACTGAAAAAAGAAGGCCGGGACGGAGCAAATTATCATTCGAGGGAAAGGAGGGCGCGCTGCAATTTTTATGGTCGAAAGGATTTCGTTCTGCAGACAGAGGTTTCCCTAAAATGGGCACTTCCAATATTTCGGCTTCGTTCCATCTCCCGGCCTCATGTCGAATGTTAGCCCAGCTGTGGCTCCAGTAAAAAGTCATGATTTTTATACAAGAACGCCGAGTTTGAGTTCTTGCCACAGTCACGTGCGATTTCGCCTTGCAATAATAATAGAGGCCTATTGTGCTTTTGCCACAAACATCTGTACACATCGCTAGACCTTTTCAATGTTACAAACTACATACACGTAGGCCTGGTCATTTTGAAATAAGACACCACCAGTGTAACACCACGTGATATCAGGAGGAAAACGATGGGAATGATTGGGTTGAAAACAAATCTTGCTCGATTATGCCTAACTACGAGTGCTTCTTGGCTTTGTGGTGAGAACAACAAAACAGACTCAAGAAAAACCGTCTGGCAAGCACTTTGGAACATACTTTATATATAAAAAAAAAATTAAAGAAATGTCAATATTATCTCACTTGTTGTCCTCCCATTAAAAACACTGGATTTCAGATAAAAATTAAAATGAAGTCACTCAACCGAGAAATGTATTATGCACCATAAAATGTCCAATTTATTTAAATTCTTTAAAACAAAAGTTATCGCACCTTCTTGAAAGAACTTTTGCAAACATGAAATTTTCTACAACAGATGACAGCACATGTACTAGTATCCGTGAAATCAATGAACACATGTACATAACAAAATTATACACATTACACGCATTTTGATGATATGTCTTTGAATCAAAAATAGATAGACTTGAAATGATCATTTTTTCTCTGTACAAAACTACAATTGTTTTCGAACTCTCCACTTCCAATACATTCGAGGAAAGCACTGTAAAAAATCCTGTTTTTCAACCTTTGGGCAACCTAAGCTCAATTGTGAAGGGGAAAAAAATGACAAATATCTAGTCAACATCACCTCCAGGGTCAAAGGTCGATACTAGTCACTTGCACAATTCTGTTTCACTATCACTATGCAAATATGTTGCCACTTGGTCAAAGGTCGATGTACACATACAGGTAGGTGTAAAACTTGCCTACTACACGCACACAGTAAGCTTGCCTAAGTACTGCAAATATGCCCTAACAAAGTCTTCTTGATTAAAATAATCTAGTACCTGAAACCATGAAAGTCACTGCCTCGTGATAGGCTACAGTACATGTATACAGGAACATAAACGAACTGATGACAACTATTGCAAAAATATTTTTCATTGATTCATAATTCATTATACATGTACACCACCTTCTCCCCCTTTCCAGAGTTGGAAGCAAACAAACGCACAACATCAAAAATACTATTGTACAGCCTTTCTGCATTTTCCCACCAGGTGTCATGCATTGCCGGTGGTGTTGAATATAAAAAAAGGGAAAACACCAACAATGAACATGGCAACAAATAGTTCTGTCTGAGAACACCTACATACTGCAAAACAGTAGCAGAAGGTCGACAAAATGCTGCGTTTGATGATGGCTCAGAAACATCCATGTGCACCTGGTCGGGTTAACAGACATGCGACACAACTGAACTGACTTATAATAATCAGCACAACTTGAACACAGACATGTCACCGCACGTTCAAAAGAATCACACACTGGTCTCAAGCTGGTTTCTGTGTTCAGATCGTGGAATAAACAGCCCCCTCATCACTGACCCTAACAACCGTTAGCCTTTTCTTCAAATTCAACATTGCTGTTTTTAATTTCTCTGAGAAACAATTTGTGAAACCTTTAGCAATACTTTTAAAAAATGCTTAAATTGTAACCAAGCAAAAAATCTTTTTAATTAAGAATTACAATACGATAACACTTGAGCATGTAGTACGAAGCTAACTTTTTTCAAATTAAAAATGATGCTTTTTTTCCATTCTTCAATTTCCAAAGATGAGATCATTTTGAAATCTGAGTTCCAGTAAATTTGTGAATTTTGAGCATGATTTTAAGAAGCAAGAACTCAGAGACTTTCTAAGACACTTGTTATCATCCGTGTATCATTAATATAAGTTATAAAAATCTAGAATATCATTTTAATAGACTTATTTGATTGCTTTTGCTTATGCAGACATAAACTGGATGAGGTATATATTCCTTAATAATTTCCAAGTTTAAAATCTCAGCAGTATTTTTCACCATTTCTACTTAACATAAAATGTAGAATAAGAGGGGGTTAATATTTAATGTGAGGAAAATTCACATCTGATTTGGCACAGTCAGGCTTGATCTCTTTGAAATGGTGTGGTTCACGCCAGTTATCCACTTACTGCCGGATAAGGAAATAGAAATGTTTCAATTTGTAATTGTTTTACCCCTCCGTTTCCTCCAGGGCCTTGGGTTTGATATGTGGTCTAGTACCTGGTGTCCCACACACTAGGAGCTGGGGTTGTAGGGAGGTGGCTTCTCGTTTGAGTTGTACGGCTCCTTTAGACCAATCGAAGGGAAAAGACAACACAAAAAGCACAGTGTTCACAAGAGGCACAGAAAAGAACAGATGGTGAAAGCAACAAAAAGGCGTATTGCCTTGCAACGAAACTGTTACATATCAACAGGACTGCTAGGTGTTCACATAGGCTGTGTGGAAGGCAATCGAAATGAAAACAAAATTCCCCAGAATGGGTAAAATGGAAGTGCACAGGTGGCATGCTGACATCAAATTGTACAAAGGGTGGGTATTTACGTTTAATTTGAAAAAAAGTTTAGAAAACTCTCCCCTAAGTTTAAACGTACACATAAACATGTAAACATAACATCCTTACCACGGTGTCATTGAAAACTTTAAACACAACAAATTGTGTACAATGTAAATGGTTGTCACCAAGTTCCGGTGATATCACCTTTGATATGACCGAACAGTAAGACATTCTGAAAATTAGATTACATTATGCAGGCATCGCTCACAATAAAAGTGAATAAAAGATTATGTCAATCAAAACGTCCAACCTCTAAAAGGGGCGGTTCCGTTTAAACGTTTGGGAAAATCTGTAAACGGATTTGGAACTGTTTTCATTCAAACGTTTAGATGTGTAAACGTCCCATCCTTAAATTGTACCATGCTGTAAAAGGGAGTCCTTCCCAGGCATTCACATTCACACAAATATTTGAACCAGGTGATGGGGGCTACCCGTGTGTTGAAATAAAGGCGTTTGGGGGACCAAAAACATTATGAGGACAAAAGTTTGTCTTCACATATCAGTCCCAACTTCCTAAACAACAGAAATTGTCCCTGTAACAAGGGGGAAGGCCTTCCAAATGACCCATACATGTACTTAACTTACACATTTACCTCCCACACTTAGTGTGGTCATTCCTTTGTTTTTGTGCAATTAAGAAAACTGAGAGAAACTACTAATTTTTCTCAAACTGTAAACACAATTTTCAGCTAAATTTCTGTAAAATATTTCCTTGTCTGTTCCTCTTTCGTTAAGGACAAACAACCTTAAACCCAAAATATGTCTTAGTCTCTTTTTCAGAGTGGGAAATGTCCTGTGGATGTGGGTAAGTCCAAAGAATGTCTTCCCTTCCTGCAAGTTGTGGCCATCTTTTGTTCACAAACCCACAATACCTAAGTAAGGTTAGTGCACAAACACGTTTGATGCAAACTATGGGACAGAGGCCCCCCCACCTTTGTGTTGGTCATTGCTATACTGGTATCTCAAGAATTCTTTTCAGGCATCTAGGGGGAATTCATGTATGTTTACAATAGGTTAGAGTGTGTAAAGGGATTGGACTTGTTTGGGGGTATCCCTCTGTCCCATTTCATGTCTGGTATGCACAAACAACTTCTGTGGACGACAATCATCCTTACACTGAATAAGTGGGGACTAAAACTGTTGTGGGGACAGAGACGTCCTCACAACTCGCTCCTAATTTGCTTAACAATAAAAACTTCCACATTAAGCAAAGAGTGCCAACTCACACACATGCTGCCAGACTAAAATCTTAACACTTTATCAGTCAAACTAACTAGCTTCCTGAACAATGTGTTCTTGAATGAAAGTAAAACAAAACGTCAAGAAACGATAGCTTGAGGAAGTGAAAAGCCTGCAAAGTTGACAGGAAATGTAAAGCAAAAGGAAGCAATATATTCCAACATACATACATGTACTGGTACATTATATATAGCAGGAAAAAAGCTGATTAACTCGGGGAAAAACAGGCCAGCTTATTTATCTTACTGGCAGTTTGAATGGATAAGTGAACAGAAATTAAATATTTAAAGGGTCCCTATAAATGCTATCATTTTACTAAATTTTTTTAAATGCCCCCATTTCAATAAACTCTAAACTTTGTTTTGTCACGTTTGTTACATGTATTTTAAAAGATTTTAGATGGCTTTTTATTTTCATGCTGATGCAAACTTCCAGAGGCCTATTCATAAGCAAACCTGCGATATCAGCCCATGAAGAAATTTTCCACCTGGCACAAATTTTTCACAATTTGCCATCCTAAATTTGGTTTCCTTACGGAATTTACTGCTGCATATTAGCCCTTGGCAATAAACCAGCAAGCAAACCTAAAAACAAAAATATTTTCACTGAGAACTTTAGCAGTTTATAATGTTCGCAGAAACACATGCAAACTAAAGAGTTTCTTTCCTGACTGACATCATGGCAACAGCGCCCTCAGTTGTCCAGGAGAGACTAGCCATTTTTGAAATGATTAAAAAAGTGCAGTGCCAATACTTAAAAGCACAAAGGGGATGCCAAGTACATGAATACAGTTTGGAATGATTTACAATACTTGCCACTACCAGACCAAACACTCGATGCATTTGAATAAATATTTCTGCCAGAAATCTTCAACAATAACAGGCAGAAAATACTTCTGAATGCCGAATACCATAGTACACAGTACATGTAAACGACAAGTTAAACTTACCAAAAGTCTGAACGCGCATATGTGTGCATTTTGTGGAAAAGTTTGCTTTTTGTTACTTTTATGCTCTATTCACAGCTGCATGTGTATTTTGTACATGCTGAAAACATACAACTGTCCTGAGTCAATGCAAATAAAAAATGGACATTTTTATAAAAGAACTGTTGACTCTGTTTTGCCAAAAAAATTGGGAGAAAACTTGAAACAAAAAAATGTCTACAGAAAAAGAATTGCAATTTGTTACCCACTGTAAAAGTGCATGCATATTGCGTGTAATAATGTTCTGGAATACACAATGCATATATTGGACTTCATCGTTAAAAATATACAGTATTTGAATGTAGAGTATTTGCAATTAATTGAATAAAGCATTTTACTTAGAGTTATGTACAAAAGATAACATACATTCAGAGAATAAAAGTAGTCAAAGACATTTCCACAAGCGATGAGTAGACACATAGATGAGTATTTGAGTATGAGTCATTGTGTGAGTATGCATGAACTCCCACTAGTTGAGTCACTCCCATGAACATGAGTAGTATACAAAGTACTGTAAGGACAAGTATTGGTACAATTGTGATTATGAGTACGACAGCAATATTGAATCGTATCCTAGCCATTAAGAGTTGTGGTGTAATCAGTCACAAGTCAAAAATCATCAAAAACAAGTCATGAACAAAGTCACAAGTTTTGAAGGTGTCACTAGACACCTTTCATTATTTGAACAGTTCGAGACTTGGAATGGGATGACTTAGGACATGTTTGTGACTGACGTGATCGATTTGATCTGATTTAAAGGCAGACCCCACTCTCAGTCTGGAAACAGACAGTATACATAAAAAAATACAAAAAATATGCCATCCAGTAAAAAGAATGACAGACGCTTTACATAGCGTTAAGATATAAATAGTAATATGCTTCAACATTAAAGTGAAAGATCGGTTGGAAAAATTATGCATCAGGATAAAAGTAAGAGAGCGCAGTAGAAAACTATTAAATAGAGCAAGAAACAGTAAAGCATGAGAACAGGTGAAAAAAGGAACCAGATAGAGAGTAATGGAAAGACCAGCACGACGAATGAAAAAACTGTCGTGTGGATTGTCCAACTAACTTCCCCAGTGAGAGAGACGCAATCATTTACTGGTACATGTACCTGGTTCACCTTGCTGGGCATCGCCCCAGCTTGCTGCACGGGTAGGGCGGGTTGCATCCCCGCGGCGGCAACCTGCTGGTACGGTGGGGCCGGATTTGCTGCTGGGGCCGGTCCTGGGGGTGGCTGCGGGTAGCCCCCGGGGTACTGGCTGTAGGTGCCGGGGGCCACGTAGGGGTGCTGGGGCACCTCCGTGTTGACCAGGGTGCCGTAGGCTGTGGGTGAGGTGTACCCTTGCTGGACCACAAGGACTTGGCGACGACGGAGCTGGCGACGGCGCGCGATGGCGCAGCAGGTGGTCAGGATGATGAAGAGAAGCATCCCCCACATGAACCAAAACCCTGCAGGGGGGGAGGGGAAACCGGTTTCCAGGACGCTCTCAAATGTGACCATTCAAAAACTTAAATTCCACATACAGATGTACATGTAAACCATTAATATTTCAATGCCTGTCATACGGTCAAAAAAATGAATAAACTGCATAATAATACTGTCTACTCTCTCCTCTTTCCTGGTTTTCTTTTAAAATCCTCCATTCTTCATTTTTAATTTACATTTATCAGGACCTCTCGGATGCAAATCACAGAGAGTATGAGATAAGGGTTTCATCCAGGATTAAAATACATACATTGTACAATGTATATGCTCATCCTTTATCAACCAAGGTTAAAAATAGCCAGCCCTCTTCCGGGAAATGTTTAGATACTGTCATACCTTGGTGATACTGAGGCCACACGTCTACTTCACCCAGTGTTTAGGAAGGAAATTTTTACGATTTTACGGCTGAGTCAATTCGAATCTGCTGGTCGGTACGACCGAATATTCAAATAGTCGACCTTCAATTTGATCAAATATCCGAATATTCGGTCGCACCCACTGGCAGATTGTTAGAGAACAAACCATGTACAAAATCAGTTGCAATAATGCACACAATTGCATAATAGCTTCTCACGTCTAGGAGTATCTCCAGCTATGATTTTTAAAGATTTAAGAGATGAACAATACTTCTTACCCTGCTGAAATTTGAATTTAATTTAAATTGTTTCATGAATAATTTACGGGTACTTTTTGATTCATTCATTGATTCATTGATTCATTGTAAGATTTCTGTCGCTTTTCATTTAAATCTGCTTGAAACAAGCCTCTATGGTGCAATTTTTCTCATCTGAAATATAAGAAAATTTTCCCTTCCTTTTCATGAATTTTGCATTTGAATATTCAAATTCAGAGAATAATATTCCCATATTTGATAATCGATTGAATGTTCAGTTATTTGGCACAGCCCTAAATGATTTGTTCACCTGTGTTAAAGATTTACATAAGACCAGGGAGGGGGGAGGGACTTGCAATTCGTGAACAAATGACAACTGCCAGTCCAAATTTGTTTTTGCCTTTTGGAGAGCTGTTCAGGGCTGGGACAGTAACTGTCATTTATATGAATGAATTATATGAAAGCCATGGCATACATGGTTGGACCAGTTCAGCCATTTACAAGAATGCTCACTGGTCTCGACAATGGCATATTGCAACAGATTTATATTCTGGATAATCTCCAACTTCCAGCTATATGCACAAATGATTTTTTTTTTCATTTTACATGTATAACAGTTTCTGAGGAGTGTATTTGAAAGCCTGCACCAAACCCAATCAACTCTTTTCATTCAAATCACTTATTTTATCTGCTTTCCCGCTGTGGTGAAAGGTTCACCATCAGTGTCCATCACTAGCCCAAGTTTGTCTGGGACCACCATCAACTTTATTGTTTCAATTTCATATGTGCTTAGGATTGAGATAAACCTGCTGGGCACAATCGGTCGATCAGCATGATCAAGCAAACATGCTGTGCTTTGAGTCAGTCTTGTACAAAAAAATTTCTAACTTTCTCCCCTTTTTGCTAAACCATCTTTTCAAACAATCTTCCAAACCTTCACGTCCATTCTGAGAGTAACTTACACCATTCCACGACGACCGAATAGCAGCAGTATACATGCATGTAGCTTATATCATAGTCGTAACAGCAACCCGTCGCACAGTAATTACCGTCTGAACAAATATCGGCCTGGAAAATAATTAAGGAGACCAGAAAGACGATCAAGAAATTTGTCGAACTGATAGCGTTGGTTGGTGCCAAATTTGAGAGCAATTACATACACGCATGCAGAATACTCTGGCTTCCACGGCCTTGTATTCTTGAAGATCAGTCTCAAAATCTGCAGTTTACTCTCCAATTTCCAGGTCGAAGTTCTCCAGCTGTAAACTATGGTACCTGATGAACAATAAGATTTCTTCCCAGAGGAATATTTTGAACGCTCATGAAAAGGAAGATAAAAAAAGTGGGAAGAGTGCTTGAAATTAATGACCGATCTGTATGTTTAATCAGATGACGCTATTTTGTTAACTGTACGCTGAGAACAAGTCTGGTAATATATCACAGCTGGCATTTGTTGTTTCCACAGTTTTTCAGCACCCAGCCCAGGATTTTGTCAAGAGGGCATTTATTCATTTTCAGAATTTAGACCAAAAATAATGTCAATTACAATACCGAAGATACTGCCCGATAAGACCTCAATTTGGCATGCTTTTAAATTACACCCGTAAACACGACAACAAATATTTATTATGTAAGAAAAAAGTGTTGAAAAAATTTTTGCATAGTTTCAGGACTTTCATACCCTGGAAGTTAGTTGCAATGTAATGTAGACATCATCCAACCTGGGCTAGGGCCTATACATGTATTCATGATATTATTTATTTCCTTCTTTACACAAAACAGTCACGCCCTAAATACTACGAGATTCCCAAGACGTTAGTGAGAGCATGGTGAGAGCAAGTCAAAAACAGCTGTAACTTGTATCATGATGGCATTTTATAAAAAAGAATATCATTACCGACTACTGACCATGCTGACATCTTGGGTCAAGACAAGAACAACGTTTTACTACTACTAGTGTCACTGTCAGTAACACTAAAAGTAAAACGGTGCTTTTTAATCGACATTAAGATTACTTACTGCCGCATATTGAAAATGACAAACAAGCCACGTGAGCACTGGGAGCAGAAAGAGCTTCATTCCTGGTGCCATTTTCACTTTCAAGATTCCGTGCACTGCAACTTAAAAGTTTAAAACTAACTCCTCCTTGTGTCCAAGTCCCAACGAGGAAATAACGCACCGTATGTACATGTACAACGTACCGTACCTTTAGCCAGCTTGGCGCACAAAATTGTACATTGGCCTAGTCTGGTTTCCAAATCGTATCTTCGTTGCATCTTTGCTGCGTGTATGCGGCTCTGGAGGCGATAGCTAGATCCAGTAATTCATTATCAGGTGACAAGTGACATCATGGGAAACGTCGGGCAACGCAACGGATGACGTCAAGAGGTAACTTATGATGCGCTAAAAATAAAATTGTCCAAACAGCAGGTGTTCGCCATTGCTCCTAGCATATACATGGAGAGCAAGGAAACAGCTAGCCGCGGATTATTTTTTGTTTATGGAGCTCCACGATGGGGATAGGCTCGCACTGTTTTGTGTACCTAACACACCCCATCCCAGGCACTCCGTGAAAAAACTTACCTGGTTGGAAATTCAGGAAAATAACCTGATTTAACTAGCAAATTAAGCGGTGATATGTGGCCTAATTCAATTCCATCCTGAACTATGCATAATCATTTTTGGTTTACTAGACATTCTCGAAATTAGAATACTAGAATTCCGAAAATTAAAGGAGTGTTTTTTTTAAACAAGGGAAATGTACAGTCATAAGGCAATGTCATGAGACCTTTTGGCCTTGCGATGAGGAGCCATTTAAAGAGGTTTAATTCATTTTTAAAAAAAGTCACTCAATGGCTTGAAAGAGAGAACCACCAAAACAGGTGAAAATGAAAAAAGCTCAATCAAAACTATGATGAAAGGGAATCACTATTTTTCCAGAAGAAAAAAAAAGGAAAAAAAAAAAAAGACCCACACTCCCACTGTTTATGGCTATCACTTCGTTGCTGATGATCGAGTGCTCCCCCCCCCCGAAATCACCCCCCGGAAAATCCTGACTAAAGAGATGAAAAGCCCCAATTTTGTTAAGCTCTCCACTGATTTTATTTCATTGGTATACAAAACTGCTAGAGGAAACTTCACATATTTCTTGTATACAGTGTAGTATAATTAAGGTACACCAAATGTTTCCAATCAAGGTCAAAATAAACTGATCTACCAATTACATCGACATGGAAAATTAATTACCTTTCACAATTTGTGTTGCAGTTGGTGGATGGATAAATATCTGTGGTCGTTTCTTCAAACTACAACCTTGAAGCGTAATGCAAGAAATGTACATATACTTCCTTAGATTTTTATTACAAAAAACGGTCAGTGTTTACCTCATCGCACACTGGTTCAAAACAGGTGGTTATTGTCCATTTTTTAGTACTGACCTGTGAGGAATGTGAGATGGCATGACACAGAATTACTTCAATAATTAATATTCATTTGCCGTCTTTTGTACAAATCAAAGAGAAGTTTTCATCAACCCATACCTTATATGTATACGTGAGACGCTTTCATATCGGAATGACTGTGCACATCAAAACTTCAATCAGTATTTTAAGTTGGTTATTTGTAATATCTGAGCGTGTTTTCCACGATCATTTTTGTCTACAGAGTATAAAAAGTGCAGAATCATCACAAACGAGTTGAGAAAACTCTACTAATGCTGTTAAATCTAAGGCATACAATAATACTGCTGGCCATGTGTGCATCTAATGCACCCTTTGCTTAAGTACAATTACCGATTACAAATTCTTATAAATCCAGCAAATACTTGGATGTGAATTATGCAAATGTTCAAATATTATCACTATAAGCTTACAGTTCATAACTACAAGATAAATTAGGCACTCACGTAATACGGTCGTTTCACAAAGGAGTTTGCAGCACGTTGACCGATCACACTGCGTGAAATCTGTTGACTAAATGCATGTTTGGAAAGGGTCGACAGATTTCGCACACTGTGATTAGTCAACATGTTGCAAACTCTTGGAGGCGCACTATTGTGAATTGCCAGTGTTGAAACATTAAAAAAAACTCAGTTTTTAGAGCATATATTCCAATGTCTGCTATTATATTACTGTTTTATAATTAAATTTGGCCACTTTCAACAACAGAAAACATTTTTAAACAGCTTTATTCAAAATTGACGAAGCTTCAAGTTGAAGATGACGTCAGCATGCTGGAATAAACACTTACTTAACTACATGTATATTTCTCCGGTGGTGTATTCACACATAGCGGTCAGGTCGCAAAGCTGGTAAAAGTAACCAACATTAATTTATCTCATGGAACAAACTGGGGTATCAGACCCAAAACATGTAACAGTTCGGTTCCTTGGTTCTGAACCTCTTCAATACACATGTACAACAAAACAGGTATACACTAGGTGTGGCTTACAACAGACTAAAGATACTCAAAAGTTTGAAAAATGAAAAAAAAAGACAAATGACAGATATAAAAAAGTATACATAAGAGGAAAATAATTTTGTATGAACTTTACTGATCAAGAAATGAGAAGATCACCAAAAGCAAAGCACTGACCATTCTTATATCCAAACAGATTTGAAGGAAACTTATTTTGTAAGACTTGGTCAATAAATTTATTCGTTTTTCAATCCTGACTATGCACGCCATTGCACTCATTTGCCTATCCCTAGAGCCCAATGACTACATTTTCCACACTAACGGTAGTATGGTTCCATGAGAAATGCCAGACAGTCCTCGTCCGAGTTGATCAAGATGCCTTCCGTGTCCAGCACCTCGCCGTCTCTAGTGACGCACCAGCATGAGCCTGCAGTGAACAGAGAAAATGCGATAAGTAAACTCAATCATGAGCAAATTTCGCCCGTCAAGTTGGCAGATTCAAGCTGGCGTTAATCTCTGGTTTCCTCCGCTTGAAATGACCAAGGATATTTCAACTTGCCCAACGGATGGGATGCCAAACCTTCACAGGATGCTCCCTAGCTAATGTTGGTACATGTATCCGTTTTATACTCATGGGTGGAGACAGGCAGGCAGGGGTTAAATGGCTTGCCCGAAGACACAGTATAACGGCCAGCAGCTGGATTCAAACCCCTGACCCTCCAGTCATGAGTCACAAACCCTAATCACTAGGCAACACCTGCTCCAAAGAATACAAGAGAAACTTATCAGAACACCCAATACATTCCATGATCTTACAGCTGACAAAAACATTTTTTCCTGCACTTTTCAATGAAAAAAAGAACCTACATCTTTCACCACTTCAGGGAGACAAAGCCTGATGTTCAGATTGTCTGTTTTACCATGCTACAATGTCACAGATCCAATCAGCTGGCAAAAGCCAAATGAATCCTATTTTTTTTCACCTATTCGCAATAGGCAAATCAACTATCATTTACCAAAGTATTCACATTGCTCATCAAGCATGGAATACAAATACATACCTGTAGAACTGGAACACTGCATGGGTTTGTAGAAGCCCTTTTCGTCACACTGTGGAGCGGTCTGGCCGACCATGCGCATCTTTGAGGGCATCAAATACTTCTCTCGCGCAGTTTCACAAGGTCTCACTGACAAATTTAGAACAAACAAGCAGAGATCAAAAGAAAGACAACAGTCACGTTCTTCCAAAAGGCACATGCTAACTATATGACAGTCTGCAGGTGAATACGAAAGATCGTTTTTTCCTAGTATTGATGTTTGAGTGGGCCATGGCCAATCTTGCAACTTTTCAGAAAGGGGTACGGGGGCTTTTGGTCAATTCCTTACCTCGACGGTGCTGTGGACACTCCCCTTCAAACTTCGTTTTGATGAAGTCTTGGTTCCTTGTGCACTTGATATATTTCAAGGAGCACTCGTTGCCGTATGTCACTCCGTCAGTACCACACACGGGGTCGTACATCTTGTTACAGGCAATAGGACACTGCTCTTCTGTAGTGCCAAAAGGAAAAAAAAATGGCATTAAGTCGCTGAAGTTGAGTAAGTCCATCTAGCTAGATGTAAGTACTGAGAAAATCTGGTTTCCATGTAATGATCTACCTGTAGATTTGAACTCCCAAGACAATGGGTGCAAGACACTGGTATTGTATCAACTTGGTTTATGTAACCCAGTTTGTGAAGTAATTCTTTTTAATATATAAAACAAAAGTGTGTAATTTTAAAATGGTGATTTTCCTGTAACCTTTTTCCTTTAATAGTTGCACAGTTGGACTGAAAGCAAGAGAAACAAAAACTTGTTTTTCTTTCAAACCAACAGGTGTCTTGGATCACGCACGGACATCAGACAAATTCTTGTTCAGTTCTGCACAGTGATCACTCATTCCGTACAGGAATGTGCGACATCGCGCCCTCTTCTGGCTGCGCACAGGGCCGTTAGACGTACCTTCAACGGGCTTCATGCACTGTTTGCCGCAGCCATTGGAGCAGCACTTGAAGGTGCCCTTGCAGTCACTGTCGCCAGAGCAATCCTCCAAGCAGATGCCTGCCATGTCTGGCGACACTGGGGGACACGCCTTCTCCTTGTTCTCTGAGGGAATTGAAACAATCCGAAGAGTACACACAAGAAAAAAAATGTGCATCTTATTTCTGCAAGGAGGAGGAAATGAGAATAGTGCTTCGGTTGCGTCACTTTAGACTGGTTGCTGTCTACCTAATAAGTGGCCACACACGAATATTTACCAGGATATGGAAAAATTCACAGAAGCCAACTAGAAATTGCATATTTAAACTGCAAACAGATTGGTGTCATTGGCTGCTCATGCGAACACTGAATAAAAATGTGAAAGGTCGACCAGCCATTGTGACATTAAGCCTGAGTGAATACGAGACAGATTTTGGCTGCCACTGATACCAAGCACCAACCACTTGACTACTCATGGGGAAGAGACAAAATGGACACGAGCAACAGTAGTCAAGCTGAGCCAAAGCACAGGACACTTGATTCTCAGGTTTGTACATGTAGCAACATACCTCTCCTCACCACGGTGTGTTCACCTTGTGATTCCTGGTCATATTTGTGATCAGGATGGAAGTGTTTCCGTTTAGCTCCAACTTCCTAGAATAACAGAAGAGGGCAGCATCTTATTCATGTTATTCGGAATCTGAATCATATAGTCAGCAAAGCCTCCATCAGGAAACATTACATCAACTATTCCTCTATGATTACACTAGTAGGAGCGTAGCGGACAATGACCCCACAGTTCTGGGTGTACTTATCACGCTTACATGTAATTAGGGTTAGGGGACACTGACCTACTTCAACCATGCATGTCTACCATGCCTACCATTCAGATTGTGTCTACTGTCATGATTGTTGTAACGTTTGTTATTATTATTATTTATTTATGCCAATAGTACATCACAAACAAGATGGGCATAGAAGCGACAAAAGAAATAAAAAATCACTGTGGTCACAGACCCCCCTCCCCAGTCCCTACATCATGCTGCGAAAAATTAACAGGATATTAAAAATAACTAAATACACATATAATGCACTGAACATGTTCTACAAGTGTCTTGGCCTATGACTAACGACAGTAACGTCTGTGACCGTATAGTCACCAGGTCCCTCATTTTGCCACTTAGGCCTACCGAGTACTGTGATAACAGACTTGACATGGGTTGGGACTAGTCCAAGTACATGTAGCTTGGACTCTAGGAATCGCCTTTACACTTGAACATCTGGACATGGTTGCACGATATGTCCAATGCGAAAAGGCAATTCGGAGAGTCCAACATGTCCAAGTTACTCGGACAAGGCGAATATAGGGTCACAAACCTACCTCCTATCCTGCGGCTTGATAAATTGCCCAGCAAAGGGCCTTGGCGTTTAAACTTTATAAAACTAAAGCCTGCTTTGAGGTAAGCCCAACAAAATTTTATTTTAACACTGACTTACTACCATGACGACCATCACGATCGTGGCAAACAAGACGCAGAATCTTTTCATGTTTGGCAGATCAGGCATGTGAAGTGACGGCTTTTCTGCAGTGTATGCTTGCTCTGCCCTGCCTAACGTAAGACCTTCTCCCGGTCCCCAATGCTCCAAATGGACAAAAGTTGAAGAAGTACTGTTCGCAAGTCAAGGGACAAGCACTGAAGCAGACAGGGGAAAGATTTTGATAAGTTTGGCTTCAGTACTTGACAAATTACTTCCCGACAATGCAAACAGGATATGACCAATAATCGTTGATGACAATTCAGTCCGTCACATCAGCGGTGAGCATCAGACGAGGAGTCACTAAGTTGGCATTGCGTTAGTGACGACTGACGGTAGTGCA